ATATACAGCAAAAATGTCGTTCTTTGACTAAAGTTATGAACATGTGATAAAAATGAATAATTTCAACAGAATTGTTTCAAAAATTCAAAGCACATTGAGCAGATATTCCAGATGCTTTTGCAAAAATCCACTTGGGTTTATCTTTAAAAACAAAAAAGTTAGGTATGTTTTTCTAATTATAAAGGATAGAAATGTCCAAGAAACCGAAATTTCCAGTAAATGTCTACAATATCGACCTCATTTATCTCTAAAAGTAGCACATGAAGATAATTTTTATTACATATCTGAATTGACTAGGTGAAAAATAGCTTGTATGCAAACTTTCGTCAAAAATTCACCGTGGAATCAAAACTGTATCGTATACCCTTAATCCGGAACGTTAAAGCCGATTAAACGCGAAAACCAATGATGCACCAATGCGTCTATACAAGAGGAGAGGCGAAAGATACTAAAGGGATATTAAAACTCCTTAATCTAAATCGGTATTTCACATTCGAGGAAAATACGACCAAAAGGGAGAAAAAAAAAAGAAAAGCTAAATCCGTCTAAGATCAACTACGCATGAAGAATTTTAAGAAAGTATGTTATAGATCATGAAAATTCCGAAGCACAGACTACTGAGCTTATATTAATACCCTTCGGGATTACCAGTCAATCAGCAGCGGTATCGTATCGACAAAGTCAAAGGAATGCAAAAAAAAAGATACCTTCATGGAATTCAAATATATTTAATTTGCAACTTATTTATCTGATGATATCATTTTAACACGAAGAAACCAAGTCAAAATAAATAAACAGATCCGTTGTAAACGACAGCCTAACGCTTGTAAATGAAGGTCAAGGTTTCAACTGACAAAACATCATTTCTATTTGATTTGTAGTTGCTTAAATCTGGACCTTTTCACAAAATTTAACCAAAGAAATTTTGCGTGAAATGAAAGCTAATGCCAGTGACTGGTGGCAGCTCATTCTGTAAGACTTGTTGTTTCATAGACCTGCACATATCGTTACAAAATACCTTACGAGAAGTCGTGATCATTTCATTTTGCCATTTGATATAAGAGACTTTCCGTATTGAGTTTTCCATGGAGTTCGGTATTTTTGTTATTTTACTTTTTTCCATATACATGTAACTTCCGATAAATTCGATCGTAAGAGATTGCATGGAAAGAGTCGCGGGATCTTAACCACAGGGGGGAAAAAAAGAACGGACGAAAATATTTGTTCTGTCATCTTCTTAAAACGATGGGGACTAAGAGGTGTGATATCATTAACACATTCGTGGTATATAAGATGTTTCAGTCTAACGAAATTTAAACTTCTTGGCTCCCAAATGTACACCACATAAATAAAGAGGGTCTACATATTTGTCTTTTATGAAACATGTCAAGAAAAGAGAAAGAGAGAAAGTGAAAAAAAGACACAAGCCTATCCTTAACAGATGCGGATCCATGATTTTGCAAGAGGGGGCATCAAAAAAAGGCAACGTTAGGGATGGGACATTTAAAATTTCTATGCATTTATTTTATATGTAGCTCCATAAGGGGGCTCGGGACCGCCTAATTCCGCCCCTGCTTATTTCTTAAGCTTTCTCGATGAAAAATTGCTGCAAGTAAACATTGACATAGATAAATAGTATATTGTATTGTATGATATTTGCTATTATTTGAGTCCACAAAACAGACTCACGTGTAGCACTATTGTGGAACCTTTTAACTGCTGTAACAATATGTTTAAATCTTAACTCATATAATCAATTGATGAGTAGTATTGACAAATGGGGACGACATAAAAATGGGGACGACAAGTTAGCAGTTAAAAAAGTACAAGGAATAAATCATAATCATACTCACAATCAAAGAGACTTTATTTACGTATACTGTTTTCGTTCCTAATTTTTTTATGTAGCCTCTTTTCTGTGCATATAATCTGACCAGATATCTTACCAACACAAAGTCATGTTCCAAAGATAAACTATTTCACTACGATTATAAGGTAATACATATATGTAAACTGATCACAGTGTTCGATCAATGTAATTTTAATCACAATAGCCAATCCGATTCCTGACAATATATATTACACCAATTATATTATACAGTTGTAAGCTAAAAGCCAAACATATCTAATTCCCAAGCCCATCAATTGGAAGAAGAAATTCAGGGTACTGATGGATGCAGCTGCGGACTATGCCAGAAAATGTTTTAAGCGCGAGCCAGATGAACCACAACTGTACATTATATGAAAGGATGAAAGCCATTTGGTCATATATTCGGAAGCGCATTGAAAGTCTGACCATTTCAAGAAGCCCGAGGTTGTGTATGCTCTATCCCTACTTTACAACAAATATGTTGTTGTTCCAGCAATCAAAGCCTCGAACAAGATTGTTTTATATGCAAAAACTATTATGGAACGTCTCACTAAAGAACTTAGAATTCACAGCAAAACTTGAAATCCCACATATACCCCTACATCATTCACGAATGAGGAGATTTTAGAAAATCACTAATCCGTCCTTCTCTCCTTTGGTATTGACATAAAATAAGAACTATGAAAATCTCAAATCTTAATATTGTATACCCAAACTTTATACAAAAATCCTAATATAGATAAACGATATATAGCCTTGTCGTCAAGTTGTTCCACTAGACATCTTTCTAAAGTTCTTAATACCATTCTTTCTATAGTAAAAGGTGGCCCTCAGAAATATTGTGATGTTGTATTATATTCAACAAGCGGTGTCAATCAGATGTGGATTCTCAAAAATTCTTAAAATCTACTTCAAAATTTGCAATTACAATTTTTCAAATTTGTATTCATACGAAAATATGCGATTTTTCTACGCTTTACACAACTTTTCATCCTGCTCAATTAAAAGATCGACGATGTAGAAATGGGAAACGTAAATGCAAGAATGTCTTGTTTTAGGTCATGAAAAATCTTACTTTGTGAAGAACCACACTGATTCTAAAAACAAATACACCGAAGATGATATCATCAAAGTTCTGGACTCAACAATATACTTGTTGAGTTTATTGGCTTCATATTTTAGCAGACAGTCTGTATTCAACACGAAAATTATTATGCACCTCTATTGGCCGTTTGTTCTTAAACTCATATGAAGTAGAATTCGTACAGAACCTTCTCAAAGATAGAAAGAATAAACATTTTACAAACTTTTTTAATTTCAATATCAGATATATTGATTATGTTCTGTCACTCAATAACTCACACACCCGGTCTCGCACCTTTCGGAGTTCAGATGATTCGATCGGTTCAGGTCTGTTACCTTAATGTACTAGTCTCTTTCTAATCGATTTACGAGATTTAGTTGTATCATTTAAAAATATTTGTAAATTAATATCATCTGCATCAGGAACATAGAGTAAGAACTGAACTGCTCCAACAGAGCTCCGAGGAAGAACGACTGAAATAGTCACTTCATATTTTTTACGGTCACCATTACGATTTGGTTAACCGATATGGTGTGTCGGTGTCTCAACTCACTAGCGACACGTTTTCGCGGTCTTTAGATCTTTAGATAGCAATATAGTCGTCTGATCTGTAATTTTACCGATTGTGTCCATTTCCGGTTCGGAATGAGTATTAATTTGAATGGTGAACGATGGATGCATAGCACGAGACGTTTACTCTGTCAACACATCCAGTCTCGCTCCTTTTGGAGTTAAGTGATTCCCTTGGTTAAGGGTTGTTAACTTTATGTGTTACTTTCTAATCGACTTCCGAGATATGTTTGTAGCATTTAAACATATTTGTAATCACTTAATAGATATAATCCCCATCAGGAAAATGGAGTAAGTACTGATATAAAAGTTTTGTACATATTTTGTCTCTTCCTCTTCGTAAAAAACTGTCTGTACTGTGTACAGTTCCACCAATTTAAAGGGTGTAATCGTGTTCTTTGTCATGTAATTTTGTATTTATAAATGATCTACTTTTAACAGATAAAGGATTTCTTGCTTGTAATTTTGTACAATTTGAAAGTTAATTCAGTTCGTTATTTATTTGTTTTGTATGATATAAAGCTACCAACAATCATCATCATAGTTGTGTTCGTCTTCATTTTCCTACTTTTTTTGTTTGTATAATTTTGTTTGTCTTAATTTATTCAATTTACTGACTAGCATTGGAATTTCATTGTAGTGCATGTGACAATGCATTTATAACATTCAAAAGCCTTATTTAGCACACTCTTTTACCGAATATTAGTACTGATTTGAAGAATCCGAAACAGTGGTAACGTCCTCCCTGCTATGTTGTATGTGTCGTATAATGATAACTGAGAATATATAGTGTATACATAATTTTTGATATGTTGTTGTCAGTTGCATCATATTGAAATTCCTTGTAGTACGTCCATACAAATAGTCAGGGACTGAGTCAGTACATCCGACAAATACTTGTTGTTAATATGATGACGCCATCTTTAATGTAGTTTTCTTTTTTTTCTTTTTTTTGGGGGGGGGGGGGGGGGGGGGGGAGGGGGTAAGGGGGAGGGTTGTCTTAGAATCAAACCCTTTTTACTTGTACATGTATAATATATTTGCCTTTGTTTAAGTAATGGAACAAGTTACTAAAATGTACATTGCATCAACAGGTAGTATGGAACATCACTATGATCACCGAAAACACTTAGTCGTTTAGTTCGATCCTTATTATTATCAATAAACTACGATTAATAACAAAACAGGAACAAATCTTCTACAAGGGGAGAACCGTCAGTCCCTATCAATATATTATTTATAACATAAAGGTAATACTATGCTTTATTCAAAAAATGGAAAATGTGGAATGATGTCAATGAGAATTTTGTTATTTTAAGGTTCAAATGAGAATATCAGCGATTATTTTTATAGTGATTGAGTACATATAAAACGTGTAAAATAACAACATGGAAATAGAAAATTGCTGTTATAATGTAGTAAAATTTTACCATTAAATTGCAATGATATAATTAGAAGGAAAGGTCAACAAAGACACTCCTTGTATGAAAAATCGTTAAAACTTCGTGTTTTAATAACTCGTATACATAGATTTCAACCTTGTTTGCCAAAACTTTACTGGCAATAGGCATGTTTCACATGGCGGTAACCAAAATTCTGTTGTTTGCCTCTACTATTCTTCTTCATGGTAAGTCAAAATAGATACAAGTATAATTTTACTCGTTTAAATGTAATATAATGAAACACAAAAACTTATTTATGACTGGTCGTTGATTGACTTATCAATGATTGATTATTGATTGTTGCATGCTTAAAATCCAGTAGCAATCATTTCTGGACAAGAACAGATTATCAAATAATAATTTAATGGTAAATCCATACAGGATGTGCTCCTCATTAGCAGGAGGAAGTTACAGAAAAGAAGAAGGTAGGTTCTGCAAATTGGGAAGGCGGGGGTGAAAGCCGGGAAATTTGGACTGCCACTAGAAAAAGGATACGGACATGTATGAAAGGGAGATTCATTTAATTGATAAACTGTGTCTGTTGATAAATTTTGTTTTTTTTATTAGCTTTTCACCGTTGAATAATACGTCTACAGCTGTATACATTTTCCCTAATTTAAGTGTAATTGTACACTTTCTTAACGTGCGCGTAATAAATAAGAGTACAAATCACGAAGAGAAAAAAAGTAGGATAGATGCATATTTGGAAAGGAGTTTTTGTTCTCTATCTTAACGGAGAATCATCCTATCATAATTCAAAGAAGAATTATAAGGTGAGATTTGGATTGTTCTTTGGTACTGTTATATACTAATAATTGATTAAAAGGGCTTGACACTATTATTAATCCATAGCACCCGTCTTGTTGAAGAGCATTGGAAATAATTGAGAGCCATTGTAATAAAATATTGTAGAAAAAGGCTATAAAAAAGTCTTAAAGTTAAAGATCCTCTTCTATCAATTGAAAATTTAGAATATGGCTGCAATAGCATATCCGGTTTTGATATTACCCAATGAAAATATCTTTTGCATATCTAACTACATTTTTGATTTCAGTTGACTGTTTTGTAAGGGTGGATAACTATCAGAATTCCGTATACATACAAAAGAGATCGTATGATCCCTTTACACCAGCATCAAGTATTTATAAACCTTCCTGGAACCAGTGATCTACGATTATATGTCTGTCGATACTGAAACTGCGGTAGATGGTGTCGGGCAGAGAGGTCAAGTATCTTTAAACTATGTCAGATTACAATTATTAAATGAGGGCATATCTGCCCTGTTGTCAGATCAAAAAATTTACCAAACTTCCGGGAACCAGCGTGCTACAATGTGAAATTAAAATTAGGTTGAACTTTTCAGCACAAGACAGGATAAAGTATTATAGTTTTGACATGAAATGATTGTCTTTTTATTTGAACTTCAGAAATAAATTGCCATGAATGCTTCAAAATGCAGAATTTAAATTTAGAAATCAATGGGGCTATGCATTAGTGTTTTTTTTTATTCCTTCTAAGGATGGAGTGGTGGTTGAATGCATGACTATTTAACGTTCAGTGGCAAAAAGTACATGCATATTCAGAGAACATTTTAAGTTGGTATGCATATGACAGAATAACAATTTTTGCACAGAACCGACACATTTGGTCGGAATATAAACGTGTTACTTCACAAAGTGAATGTTAACGGGTAAAAGGCCACCTTGCCCAAGTCGACCAGTCTAAATTACGTGCTTGGCAATTATGAAGCACATACTAATTTTCAAGCCTGTGAACGTCAAAATCCTCGACCTCTCGCATGTAGCGAGCCAGGTGACAGTACTGTTTGTCCTGTTCTTATTTGCCATGGAAATTAACACAGTTTATATAGAGAATATGAATTTAATGTGTAATATAAAAATACATAGTTATAATAAGAGTATTTGAAAAACATGAACCTACCTATTTTTCCATGATACAATTTAAATTGCTTCAGTGTTTTACTTTAATTTTAAAGGACATTTAGTACAATTCTACAAGTACATGTATCGGAAAGACTATGTACCACTGTTCCCAATACCAAGTCTTAGATACTACTTCACAAACGAACAGGTAAGTATGATGAATAAGAAATTGAGGCAACATTTCTCAGCCGTTTACATACAAGTAGAGGTTTAGTAGTTATAAAGGCTGCAGGCATAACCCATCATTTTGTATAAATTTTAAACGAAAATACCTGTATCAAGTCAGGAATGTGATAGTTGTTTTCTTTCCGTTCCGTTGGTTAAGATAGTCGAGCGTTTGCTTTTGTTCGGTTTTAAGGGACTGCGCCCTTTTTTAGATTTACCTTGGAGGTCGGTATGTTTGTTAATACTTTTTCACGCTTAACATCTATTTGAATGAGATGGTTCAACCCACCATTTTTTTCTTAAAATGTCCTGTGCCAAGTTAGGAATAAGGCAGTTATCAAATAGTCCGTTTCAATGTTGGCGTTTGCTTTTGTTGCAGTTGAGTGTTTCTGTTGTTTCGTTTCCTCTTAAAGCTGATATGTTTCCCTCGGTTCTCCATTTATACTGTATACCTGACTTCAAAATTATTTTCATTTATCTGTGTGCATTATTCTATTTTGCGACATTTCTATCAATGTTATGGTTGACTTTCTGAAATTATTAAACATCTCATCCCTTTTTTATTGATTTTGTATTTACATTGTGTCATAGATCAAATTGATTCGTTCAGTGTATGTTCACTTGTGTTAATATGTCTTTTGATTGAATTAAGCCATTTCAATTAATATTTTATAGTGTGTCTTTCTATGTTGATGTTACACTATTGTTTCAAGTAAGGATGAAGGTTGGTACCTATTAAAACGTTTGGTTGCACTTGTCCTAAGTCAGGAACCTGATGTTCTGTAGTTGTCGTTTGTTGATGTGGTTCATAAGTGTTTCTCGTTTCTCGTTTATTATATAGATTAGACCGTTTGTTTTCCCGTTTGAATGGTGTTACACTAGTCATTTTTGAAGCCCTTTATATGTCGCTGTTCGGTGTGCGCCAAGGCTCTGCGTTTAAGATCGTACTTTGACCTATTATGGTTTACTTTTACAAATTGTGACATGGATGGAAAAATGTCTCATTGGCATTCATACTACATCTTCTTATATTTATCTTTTAAAATCAAATTATCCCAATTAAGCGGTTGATTTCAAAAGTTTAATGCCAACTTATCTGTTAATTGTCTGTCAAAAAGACAATGTAGAACAAAACAAGGAAAAATCCAGATGACTAATTGTATAGAATGCAAAAATATATTTTATGTTCAGCTTACCTGGCCCTGGGCCAGCATGACCTTTTTTTCATCACCTGGCGTCCGTCGTTAGACGTAGTCCTCTGAAACTACTGGGACAAAGCTAAAAAAAATTGGCCACACTCATGGATTAGTTATTTAGTTTAACTAAAAAAAAATTGTCCAAGAACCCCGCCTGCCTACAAATATGACCGAAATAGCTTAAGATAGAAAATACAAGGTATACATCAATTTTGTTAAGTATCTTGAAAACCGCGAAAGATAAAGAAAAGCAAAAATGTTCAGCATGATGATATCTATCTCCTGACTATCGACATCAAACTTCTGTCTGTTGACATCAACACTATCAGATGACTTATTGTCGGAGTTATTATCATTAAAATTATTATTTCGAAATATGACAGACAGACAGAAACTTTAAACTAAAAAGCGACCAGCAAAACAATAACTGCAAATAAGTCAACATGACAGAAATCTTCAGTGAACTCGTTATTGGAGTTATTGCCCTTTAATGATATTGTTTTCTTTTGCCAATTATCTGATATCTGTAAAAAATAAATAGAAACTTTAAAAAGGAAAAACAAAATTATATCAGCAGGGTAATTTCTACAAATATGTTAACGTGACTAAAATTGTCAGTTAACTCTTAATTGAGTACTAAAATTATTTTTTTTAATTTTTACTTAACAGCGGTCATTGTTGGAGATAGTTACATATACAGGTGAGAGACACATTTATTTTGTTTACACGCGTACTTCACTGTAAACAAACTAGTTTATGTTTAAACGTATGCCTTTTCAGACTTTCTTATGTCTTTTTTTATTATTTTTATTTTCAGTACTACCAGAATGTATCGAAAATCTTAATGGAACAGATGACAAACAACCCTGTCATTCGTGTGAGGACGTAAACCATTGGACAATCACATATTCTTTAAGTTCAAGTCAAATATGACATTTAATTATTTTTTTCTCTTACATCATCTGTCATGTATTTATACTGTAATCGAATACTTGATGCTTCCAATAAAGGTTACTTATTAATTAATAAATGATTTAATTTCTTACAAATACATAAAAAAACAATGGTTGCATTGTGTGTCCACGTCGCATTTTCGGGGTGTAGTACCTCATATTTTTATCAAATAGATGCATGTATGATGTTTTATTTATTAGAGTTTTGGAATCAACGCGTTAAAGCAATAAAGTGAAGAAAAAAAAACATAAAGCGAAGAGATAACCGGGGTTAAATATAAAAAAGAAGATGTGGTATGAATGCCAATGAGACAACTCTCCACAAGAGACCAAATGACACAGAAATTAACAACTATAGGTCACCGTACGGCCTTCAACAATGAGCAAAGCTCATACTGCACAGTCAGCAATAAAAGGCCCCGAAATGACAATGTAAAACAATTCAAACGAGAAAACTAACGGCCTAATTTATGTACAAAAAATGAACGAAAAACAAATACGTAACACATAAACAAACGACAACCACTGAATTACTGGCTCCTGACTTGGGACAGGCACATACATACAGAATGTTAAAGTTCATTTACTCTGAAACACTGTATAAAGAAATAAAAAAAAAATTGCACCGGCGAAATAAGACGAGGTTCCGGGGAATGGAACCATCCCTTTCTCTGGAACGATTGTTTTCAATCACATAAAATCCACTATGATAATACAAGCACCCTTTTAACAGACACACATATCTATACCTTCGGCTGTTTCTGCTCTTTGGTCGGGTTGTTGTCTCTTTGACACATTCCCCATTTCCATTCTCATTTTCTTTTATAGTCTGGATCAACACCTGTTTTTTTTCTTTTTGTAGTACATTGTATACTCTCTCAAGGATGTCTTTCTCAAAATCAAATAATATTCGATAATTTGACAACTATATTCAAAATATCAAAATATTATTCAGCGCATGGTGTATACCTTTTAAAATGAAATCAATAATTTGACATACATTTATACAATTTAATATTGCAAAAAGGGGGCCAAAATGTCAGTTAACCCAAAACTGTGGCCGAGTGTAGAATTTCAATTCATTTGAGTGAAACCTTTTCTCAAACAATTGACATTTTTTTAATCTAGAGGTCAGATAAAAATCAGATTCTTTTCACTCTATTTTTCAATAAAATTGAATTAAAAATTTCGAGAGTAAAATATGTTTCGAAAAATACTTATTTATTTAATCGCGACAACAATCAGATAGTGTTGCAGGAAGCGTCCGATTAACCCGTTCTCAATGTTGTTTCAATCTTGTATGTTGTCATTGACTTTACAAAAGTTGTCTTTCAGATATTCCTGGCATTTGTCATTGTAGATTTGTATACAAGTCCCAATCGCAAATGCTTAACTCTGTTTTCAATGATCAGAAAACTGATGCTTCATTGTTCTGGTTACTAAATACTTGTTATAGAACCTATAATTTATCAATAATTCTTAGCCTTTTAACTGGATTGTTTCGAATTCCAAATAAATAGTGCTTTTGAGAGGACTGATCTTGCTTTAACTTATTTTTGTTGTTGCTTTTTATATGTCCATCTATACCGGATTTGTAGTGCTGACTATGCGAAGTGGACAACCTGTTAAGTTTTAGTAATTTATAAGTAAATAATGTAATTATAAATTGGCATTAGAAGAAGTGGTAAGCCGATTTTGTGTGTGTGTGTATAGATATAAGAAGCTGTGGTATGAGTGCCAATGAGACAACTCTCCATCCAAGTCACAATTTTTAAGAGTAAACCATTATAGGTCAAAGTACGGTGTCGTTTGAGTAGTTATCGGTCATACAACTTTACTCAGTACTCGGAACACCAAATCTAGTATTTTTATTGGTTGATTTCTGAGTGCTCGAAAGTTTTATGACCGCAAGGCCTGGAGTCAAAAAAAAAAAAGAGGGGCGAAAGATACCAGAGGGGCATTCAAACTCATAGATCTAAAATAAACAGACAACGCCATGGCTAAAAAAGAAAAAGACAAACAGACAAATAATAGTACACAAGACACAACATAGAAAACTAAAGACGAAGCAACACGAACCCCAACAAAAACTGGGGGTGATCTCGGGTGTTTCGGAAGGGAAGGCAGATCCTGCTCCACATGTGGCACTCGTCGTGTTGCTCATGTTATTACAAACCCGGTAAATTGTCAAATTCGGTAGGTCACATTCGTGAAAAGGGAACGGGATTGTAGTTACGACATAAGGAACATATCCGATACCATCCGTGAAACGGATATTCCGTAACGGTCAACCAACTCGTGATGGCGTCCGTAAAATTTACAAAGGGATGATTTCAACTTCACCATTTGGAACTCTTGGTTTAATAGCTTCCTTGTGAGCAGCAATCCTCTATCAAGGAAATCATGATAGGAAACACAAGCCCTGGAATATCGTATCAAATGGGAGATATATACTCCGTATGCAGGCGCTGCTGGAATGTTGTTACATAGAAATGGAAAGTTCACAATTGGGAAGCTGAAATCATCTCTTTTGTCGTAAAGTTTTGTTTTCAACCGACCCTCATTGTCAATTTCTAGGTGTAAGTCAAGATATGAGGCAGACTTAACTGTATCTAATGTATCCTTTATCTCTAGTTCGATGGAATAGGTCATCAAATTTTGAATTATTTAGTGAGAGAACATCATCTATATAGCGGAAAGTAAAGTTAAAGAATATTGCTTACTTCTTTTCTCTCTTCCTAAGAAGTTCCTGTATGAAGTCAGCCTCATAAGAATAAAGGAGCAAATCGGCAAGAAGAGGGGCACAATTGGCTTCCATGGGAATGCCGATAATTTGTTGAAAAACACGTCCTCAAAACGTAACAAATATGTTGTCAATCAAGAAATCAAGCATCTTGATAATGTCAGTTTCAGAGAATTTTTTGTTTGAATCAGAGTGATTTTTTACAAAGTAGGATTTATCCCTCGCTAAGACAATATACTTGTATCTACGTTGGACATTCTTTTTTTAAATTATGAAACAAAGCAATACCAACTCTTTCAATTTTTCTTTTAGTTTGGAATTGGGAATACTTGTGTAAAGTGTAGAAAAATCAAATGTTTTAATACTATTGCAAGATGAAAGAGTCTTAGATTGTATGTACTCTAAAAGATCTTTGGAATTTTTAAGTATCCACATCTGATTCACGCCACCTCTAGAATAGACAGTTTCACAACAATTTTGAAGCCCCGCTTTGATAGCTGATAAAATTGATGTTAATAATTTAGAAAGAGGTTTCGTGGAGCACTTGGAAGAACCAGCAATATACCGTTGTTTGTAAGGACACTTATGTAGTTTAGGTATCCAATACAGTGATGGAAGATCCAGTTCTTCATCTTTGGTTGAAATTCCAAAAGAACATAGAACAGACCTATGATTATCCAGGATTTCCTCTTTAGTAAGTGTAGTGGGGGTATATGTTGAGTTTCCAAGTGAATTGTCAATACCTAATTCTTTTATCAAGCAGTTTATGTAATGAGATTTACACACATAAACATGTTGTTTGGGGTTTTATCTGCAATGACAACAACATATTTGTCATGGAGGTAGGACAAGTGTTTTGCAACATTTGAGTCTTAAAAGATTGACGTAGCATGGGTATTGATAGACCCATTCAGTTTCTTAATTCTGATTTGTAACAGCGACCTCACAGCCTTAATCCATTCGGAAAAAAATATCTACGTCTTCTTTCTCGCGTTTAACCCATTGCCTAGCATAATCCTCGACTGAATCCATCAGTATTTTGAAGTTGTGTTTCCAATTAATGAATTTAGGCTCACGATATTTCGGACCTTTGGATAACACGTTTCGCAGGGAAGTGTTATTGACAATGTTGAGGTCACCGGTAATAACGTTGCCAACCGGATTATATGTGAATTGGGAACTAGCACAGGCGCAATCAGGAGGTTTAGACTTGAAGTCGTCAATCCTGCAAAACTTGTTTGTAATTGAAAATTTTAGTTTTAGCAATTGTTTTAGTATAGGTATAAGAAATGATTGGTACAGAATGATCTTTAAAATAGGGAGTATTTTCGATTGAACTAATTTATGATGAATGATATTGCCTAAGTTGACGTCATCGAGACCTTTGTTGGCAAAGGAAAGTTTAAGAAAAGAACTTTGCTCTTTTTCATCTTTTCCAATGCGAACTGGTTTGAAAGGTCTGTGACTTGCAATGTCCGAAATGATAGCTGTAAGTTTGTATTGGTTTGAATGAGGGTTTGAAACAGTGGTTTCCAAACATAATTTGAACAGAGAATGAAGTTTTGAAAGGGGTAATGAATAAAGTTTCGTGCGAATGTGATGAATATCTAACGGCTTTTGTATAAATGGCAGCAAGTCATTAATAGAGACATCATGGAGAATTGGTTATGTATAATGACGATGACCATGACTGCGTTTACGTCGAGGAGTAGAGTTGGAAATATTTATCACAATCACCGAGCTACAGGAAGGACTAGATATAATACATATACCATCAATTTTGTCATTGCAACCATATGGTGTCGCAGTTCCCAATTGTCGAATCCAGTAGTCCTCTTTTTGTCTACGGAGAGGCGTTGCAAGATGAGGATTGTTAGTCCTGTGGTATATTTTTTCGATAATGCGAACTTTCATAGAAACGATTGAATGATCAGACTGATTAAAATGCTCGTAAAGACTGTCGCTTGCATTGTGGTTGATATCTGATATATGGCCTCACATACGTTTGTTTATCCTTCCTTTCGTTTCACCGACGTATACCAACTTGACTACGACAGGTTTAGGGGGAGGGTTTGGCGCCCACAAACATGTTTTACCCTGCCACATTCTGTATGTGCCTGTCCCAAGTCAGGAGCCTGTAATTCAGTGGTTGTCGTTTGTTGGTGTGTTACATATTTGTTTTTTGTTCATTAGTTTGTACATAAATAAGGCTGTTAGTTTTCTCGTTTGAATTGTTTTACATTTGTCATTTCGGGGCCTTTTATAGCTGACTATTTATGGGCTTTGCTCATTGTTAAAGGCCGTACGGTGAATTATAGTTGTTAATTTCAATTTCATTTGGTCTCTTGTGAAGAGTTGTCTCATTGGCAATCATACCACATCTTTTTCATATGCAGATTGAAAAGAACTTAAATTGATATTTGTCTGCATTTAAAATTAGTTAATGATCGTGTCTTCCTGTATTACTTATGTCGTTGCTGTATGATGGTCTGGATAGAGTTTACAGAATAGAGACTAATGGACAAAATGTCACGGCAGAATAAAGGAAGAAAAACAAATAATAGTGACAATTGAATAAATCGTGTGCTGAAATATAAAGAAAATACAATTAAGGAATACAGAAGTGAAGACACCCCCCCCCCCCCCCACCACCACCAAAAAAGAAGTCCAGAGCCTCCGGCCTGTATCAAATGTAAAAATCGGTATCATCATATCGGCCAAACAAGGACTTTCAGTTTGTTTTTATTAAGTATGAGCATTCTATTTAACGATATTTTTTCGTGATTGTATTGATTATATTGTTTTTATTGTTTGTATTGATTGTACTGTTGTTTTTGTTTTTAGTTTTAACTATGATACCAAATTACAAGAGTTATGGGCTTTACTGTACTGATTTTTTTATTGTACGGTCTTTTATTTAAAATGTCGACGGTTGAGATCTCAAAAACCAAGTTTAAGCTGACAACAGCTCATATGTGTATCAGAAAAGACGAATCTCGTCGCTGGTTAATATTTCACATGAAATCACAGCCAGTCATATATGAATTACTCTAAATTGCCCCGAATCTTGACATGCTACGAAAGGCTTAAACAGAGACTACTTATCTGACGTCTAGACCAAATTCCTTAAAGGTCACAACACAATGCACAGTAAAAAGATATAAGCAATGTTCTTGACCGATACATACATATGTTTTCATCAGGATAATCCACTTTTCACTGAATAAAGTATATTTTTTAGAAATCGTATAGTTTAGAAAATTTTTTAAAAATCACTTGTCAGGACTGATGCCTTACTAATAGAACTAATTGTTACAAAATGCTAGTCCATAGCCAAATTACTTCTAGTAATAAACTCTTGATCTTGGCTTCTCATTTAGAAAATAAGATTAAAAACAGTAATAAGATAACATTTGATGAATAAAACATGTTAATCAACACCCAACTTAGTTTGGAAAGGGATTTTGACTCTTAAGATGGGCAAGAACAGCATGAAGCTCACACAAAATCCAGCAGAAAGAAAAAAAGACACAAAGTACCGAAATAGGAGTATACTCGCAGTTACAAAATGCTAGATTGAAGTTAAATTAAAGTCAATAAAATAAAAACCAGGTTCTTCAAGGCTAAATAACTATGATTTTGGCTTTTTATTAAGAAAATAGAACCATAAAAAAATAAGAAAGAATAACAACAGTTCATCAACACACTTCTTTGCTTTTCTTCTGTCCTTTGATACACGATAAGGATCGAAAGAACCCACTGATTCTTGCAGCAAATGTGGTTTTCTTTCCGGCATTGTTGGTACTCATTGGCTGAATGTCTTTTGCGTCTTTTGGGGGATTTTCGTTCCCTTCATTCTTTTCAATGCTATCACAGCTGATTCTCTGTTCTGCGATTCTCTCTTCCTCTTTTTTTGTTTTGTTTTTCGTTACATAATTTTGTGTTTCTCCATCAACATCGATAGTTTGATCCTTTTTCTTCTTTTCGTCTTCGTCACTCTCTGTCTCTTCATTTGTTTTGACTATTTTGAAACCATTTTGTTTTTCCTGAACAACATCAATAGCTTGGACTTGTTTCTTCTTTTCGTCTTTTACTCTTTCTTTCTCGATCTTCTTCATTTCTGTAAGCATAAATACAGATGTTAAAATTTAATATTTTCCTAAAAGTTTTTAAACTCAATATAATGTTGGTTTTTTTTTTTTTGCATACAATTTTTGGCACGCATTCATCAGAAATGCGCGTATTTATGCATTTGGTCTAAGCGTCTTATTCTCTTTTTATTTAAAATATTAAGTAATGGTTCAAAATTCAAATATGTCAATTTTTTTTCAATGATTTTATACGTAAAAGGAACTCCAAATAAATCAATCAATGTCTATGAATTATATCATGAATAACGTCAGAACATGTATTACAGTGGAAATCCCAATTATAGACAAGAGATAGTACAGTTACAGATGTTATAGAAAATTACAAGATATAGACCTTAGTGTTGACCTTATACATGTAACATCTTGTGTGAAGTTCTTAGTACTTCATACTAATTGTAAATTTTATCAAATACCTATAAACATTTATAATTTAGAATATTCTAGTTTGAAAATTTGAAATATGATGATTGTATTAAAAAATCTATACATTTCTCTAATTGATTTTTTTTGTAATCATTGGGACGTGTTTGTTGAACAGAATATACTAGTCTATTCGCCCGGTCAACGGTGTCCATCTTAATTCGTTGAATCAGGACCAATCAGGATAAAACTGAAGATGAAATAAATACCCTTTTCCAACATCTTTTGTGCTTTTTTCTCTATCTTTTTCATCTGTTTTCTCCTCTTTTCTTCCTTCTTCCATGTTGACTTGACATCCTCTGTGTATTTTTTTGTACTCTTGTCGATTGCTTTGTATTTTGTTTGAACAATCTTTTCCTCTTCTTTAGCTTTTTTCTCTGTTATTTTTTCCTCTTTCATCATTTCTCTTCTCTTCTTCTTTTCGTCCTTGTTCGTTTCTGTGTCATCAATTGATCCTTTAAGTACAGAATTCTGGACTGGATCCTATAATAATTATACAGCATCTTTAAATACATGTATAACTGATAGTGAAAACGTTGCGAAAATTGTTGACAACTCCCTTAAGATATATTTCAAATTAGGTTAAAAACGAAGAGCTAATTATTATGACAAGTCGTTCTCGTAAAAACTATGTTTAAACCATTTCGAAAAAATTTACACACTGCCTCGGAGAACAAAAAACCCACGCACTGAGAATTGAAAATTACACTCTGAGATTTTAAAAAGACACACTGAGATGAAATTAAATGAAAAACACACACTGAGAATTGTTAATTACACATTGATCTTGCAGTCAGATGTGAGTATATTGGCACATTCTAGAGAGCCTTCATCTCACTGTGAATATGAAGAACAGCAATGAAAGCACTGTTCCACTGATACTATGTAAACATTGGATTCTTATTCTTATTAGCGTTAACATATACCCCATACTAATTTCCCCTTTTTTCGCTATTGTACCTTATTTACATGTCCGACTGCATTCTTCAATGGGTTCTCTCCAATTCTCTGCTCGTGAATCTTTGTTATTATCAATTCTAGAAATAAAAAAAAATAAAAATCCATAACTTGATTTTCTTTTAGATTTTTTAATCCCATGCATCATTTACATCAACTGACTTAAGAATCAAAAATATAAACTTTCATCTGACAAAATAGGATACCATATCTCCTTATTTTCGTTCAGAACTGTTATTCTCAGTGAAGAAAATCTGATAAACTTTCATAAAAGATACACAAACAAGAAACGTAGTATAGTGATAACTCGGCAAAAATATCAAAACAACATTACCCCTTCTTTGCTCTGTTGAGATATCCACACCCATTTCTGGCTTCATTTCTTCCTTATCCTCATCTTTTTCTGGTTTCTTCTCTTCCTTATTTTCTCTTTCTGTTGAAATAAATTAAATAAATATTCAAATGAGGAAAATCAGATATTTTATACATTATGATTAAAAAATATTCTAAAATTTTAAACGAACAAAAGAAGATGGTACATGAAATTATTCCCAATAGATTGTAAGAACAGAATCAGTTAAACCAAAGATTTGTATAGTAATATACAAATCTTTGGTTAAACCGTTTAAATTTTACGCTCTGGTTTGATGATCGAATAAAAATCTATTCGCGAATTTGAGCGACACATATTGTATACGACTCTTGTCTACCATTGTAGGCCTCTAGGGTATCATTCGTGTTACCCTCTCCACCCCCCCCCCCCCAAACCGCAGCCACCTAAATTTAAAAAACTAAAAAAAAAATGCTGACAATATTAAATGGACAATTCATCTGTTTATCCAACTATGAAGAAGAAAAAAATTGTTTTCATATGGTTAGATAACATTGCGTCTTTAACGATATTTTTTTTTAATGTTAAATGATTTTGGTTCGAAGTTAGAAGTGTAAGCATGGGGTAGAGACTTAATATATTTCTCTCTTTATCGTATCATTACTGACATACTTAATTCCATTTTCCAGACTGCCCTCTTTGCCCCAGCGGCATGTTTGTCTAGTATGTCTTCAAGCGAACACTCAAAAACAGCTGTACTCAAAATGGCCTCACAAAATCCAGACACAGCAAGACGTTCCTTTTCCTCTTCTTGAGTGGACATTGCCATTCTTAACCTATTAATTGTTAAAACAACTATTAGTTGAAAATGTATCATGAAATTCTTTGTAATACCCCCCTTTTTCCATTTTTTTAAATTTCAGAATCTGCTGAATCATGCAATCAAATATAGTTTCACATCATTTTTATAGATTATTCATAGTTTTACATGAAAATAAATATACATTGAAGAGAATATTTTAGGTGGGTTTAAATCATTGCATCGCTGATACAATCATGATAGAAATAAAACTGCATTCACCGAAGTGGTCGCTTCTGTTGTTATATTTTAGGTCTTTTCGGTTTTTGTTCTCAGTATCAACATTTTGTATTTCAAAACCTTTTGCCTGTAGTAATAATGCCATTTTTTAAACACATTTTGCAAATTTGGCGTTTTCAAGAAGTTTGGTCATAATTAAGATTGAATTTGACCTGCATTACAGGGCTAACAGTAACAAAGTTATACATATTAATTGTTGAGGCAACACGAATTCTTCATATACATTAAATCCTAAGAAATTTTTGCGTGTTAGATAAGCACCAGCGAAAAAATGTATTGTCTTGACTTGATACGAGATCATACCACGGTTTTTAGTTTCAAAGTTGTGTTTTCATGAATAACTGGATGAAAAACACATTACTTAAAAAAAAATGAAATAACATTACTCACGACAAGTGTCTTTCAATATTTCGAATCTTTCAAAAAGATGAACAGAAATAATTTTTAAACTTCTAAAAACTAACTCTGCTGCAATGTATTGCCGATACTTCGACAATAACGTTGGTATTGGAGATATTTATGACGTCGAAGTATGGTAACAGCGCAGCCGCAGTTTTCTCCGATTGTCTGTTATCTACCTTTCTAGTGTGATTACAGATAATAAGTTATAACGTGTTTGTTAATAAGTTATCATCGGTGGTTGTTAATTTATTGTGTGTTAATAAGTTTTTACCAGCGCTTGTTAAGTTATTGTGTGTTAATAAGTTTTCACCAGTATTTTTTGAGTCATTGTGTGTTAAGAATAAGTTGATTCCAGTGCTTGGTAAGTTATTGTGTACTAATAAGTTGTAACCAGTGTTTGTCATGAGTTCAACTTCTTACCATTGTCTGTCAATTAGTTGTTACCAGTGTTTTTCAATAAGTTGTACCCAGTGTTTGTCAATAAATTGTTAAGTGTTTGTCTATAAGTTGTTTCCTGGTCAGTGATTGTCAAAAAGTTGTTGCCAGTGTTTGTTAATAAGTTGTTACCCATGTTTGTCAATAAGTTGTTACCAGAGTCAGTCATACGTGTATGTCAATAAGTTGTTACATGTTTGTCAAAAAGTTGTTTTCAGTGTTTGTCAATATGACGTTACCAGTGTTTGTCAATAAATTGTAATCATTGTGTGTCAATAAGTTGTAACCAGAGCCAGTCAATATGTTGTAATCAGTGTACGTCAATAAGTTATTAGTCTACAATAATTTCTGCAGGACATTTGGGCTGTACGTATATGAAAATACGGACTTTCAAACAGAAAATGACCTATAAATCTAGATGTTCATATAAACTCACTTTGAATGCTATATTATTCCTCAGCTATTTAAAAAAAAAAAATGGCACAAAAAACTTTCATATTTGAAAAATTCACCGGGGGCCAAAATGCAAAACCAAACTACTAACTGTGTATTGCTACCATAGAATGTGCCGAGTTTTCCACAAGTTTGAGGGGTCCGTAAGATAATACTTGATACATCAAATGTTCTCACACGACGATAAGCAACTAATACAACAGTCAGTTAGTCTTATCAAATTTCCTACATCCGTGACAACAGTCGCAGTAAAACATGCAGTGAAATAATATTAATTTATGTAACCGGAGAGCATGATTCTACATACAAAATCACTTGTCTCCACCGGGACTCGAACACGGGACCTCAGTGTTACATGGCAGCGCGTTAACCGACTGAGCTAAAGAAGTACTTTCTTAGCTCAACCGCTTACGGCTGACTAAGTATCTACTACATTTACTAAGGGAAAAAATCCCGTCACACAAGGTTTGCAATAGGACTGAACATTTTTTTTATACAGACAACATTCGTCTTGCTATTCCAAAGTCTTAGATTCATTAATATTGAAGTAAGCCTGCATCATGTAATTTTATCAAATTTAAAAAACAAAATTATGACCATCACCGTTATTTCTTGCAATAGTCCCACGCATGTCATATCAAGCCAATGTGCATACAATATTGGACTCTGGGATCATTGGATAGGTATTAATCACACCGAAATGCGCATCTAGTGCAGTTAAATTAGTACCTTTGTTGTTATTAAGTTAGTATTTACTTAATTTTTGCAGTTTTCATGATAACATTTGTAGTGTGTATTTAAATTCTTGTTTTACCCTATTGTACCATAATTCATCACAACTCGGCCGATTCCTAGCGGATTCACCCGAGTATTGCCGATTGCCTACTCTACATGCACTTCGTCTGATACCGTAGACTGCTAACAATGACACTTAATCACATTTAGAATAATTACTTAATGCATCATTGTGTCGATTAAAGCTAATCATATTTTATTTTACTCATCTTTCCCATCACAGGTTAACACATAATCGTTGTCATAAAATTATATTTGTATCGGTGGCATATATTCGTCTAGTATGCGTAGAACCCTTTTTCCTACATATTGTTTTACAAAAATGTCTATGCTGTCATACCTTCATTCCAAAATAGTCTTAATTTTGGCTGGTGTTTAACTGGAAAAAATATAATTATCAAAACCCTCAAATATCAATATCTCGATATTCTGAATTATTGCGAACCTAATGAAAGTTTTCCACAGTGCCATCTCTATCTTGACCAGGTATTTAAACTTTTGCAAGTTCACCTGTCCTTTTGAATAAATACAATAGCTATTGTTCTCTGTGTAGTTTATTCTCTGGGACCTTTAAATTTCTTCTAAGAGAAATCTATCATTCATTGATTAAATTACCTGAGTATACAAAAATTCTTATATATAGACAAAAATACTTTTTTATACTCATAAATTGCGTGTGTTTCAATATTAATAATATATTTTCATTCAGTTTAATATAAACATTGATTCAATCATAAAAAGTTGATTTCTACCAAAAGTTTTATCAATGTTCCTATTGAAATTTGATTTTTTTTTGTCTAGTTATAGAATACATTTAAGAAGATCTTGATTTGAACATCATAATTTTCAAGTTTTTATTCATGTCAAACAAATTTTTTAATGTTGAAAGTTTTGTCAGAAATCAACTTTTTATGATTGAATCAATGTTTATATTAAACTGAATGAAAATATATTATTATTGCGAACCCAATGAAAGTTTTCCACAGTGCCATCTCTATCTTGACCAGGTATTTAAACTTTTGCAAGTTCACCTGTCCTATTGAATAAATACAATAGCTATTGTTCTCTGTGTAGTTTATTCTCTGGGACCTTTAAATTTCTTCTAAGAGAAATCTATCATTCATTGATTAAATTACCTGAGTAAAAAAAAATTCTTACATGTAGACAAAAATACTTTTTTTATACTCATTAATTGCGTGTGATGATGTAGTTATTCAATATTAATAATATTTTTTCATTCAGTTTAATATAAACATTGATTCAATCATAAAAAGTTAATTTCTGACAAAACTTTCAACATTGTTCCTTTTAAAAAAAAATTGTTTGACATGAATAAGAACTTGAAAATAATGATGTTTCAAATTAAGATCTTCTTAAATGTATTCTATAACCAAACAAAAAAAAAATCAAATTTCAATAGGAACATTGATAAAACTTTTTTTAGAAATCAACTTTTTAT